GTGGACTTCAACTCCCAGAATTCTGGGAGTTGAAGTCCACTCATCTTAAAGTGGCCAGGTTGGGACAACACTGGCCTAAGAGCTCTCATGGTCAGGAAACTTAAGGCATGCAGGCCGATGAATGCATGTTGCCCAAGGACTCCCCAAAGACAGATCCAACTCTAGAGGCAGAGAGAAGCGAGTCAAGAGGGGAGTTTTAAAAGAAATGTGCGCATGCACACACCCTTTGACAAGAAAAATCAGGTTCCAGCAATCTTCTTGCCCTCACCTTGGCAACTCCAAAGAGGCTCTCATCCACTTCTGAACTAGCCGCCTTGGTCCGGTAACGGGTACGAGAATGAGACCGGGACCGGGCTGAGGAGGCATTGGACGAGCCACCCAGCGAACAGACACTGTCTGGCTGTGGGGAAGGGAGAATGAATGGTGAATACAAAGGCATGCATTGATGTCAGAGATGCATGAATCTGATGTTCAGTGAGCTTTCCCGGATTCATAAGCCTTCTTGCTCCAGAAAAGCCAGGATGGCTAATATACTTTGGAGGGTATATATATTAGAGTTACAAACAACCCCTGGGAAAGAGAATAAAATGGCAACTGATTCATTTATAATTTCCCCTTTTGGGGACTCGAGCCAGAAAAAAGTTCCCGAATTGTTTGGATTCCTCTGAAAAGAATCACTTTTGCTAGACTCAGAGGTGATGTGATTAAGGGAGCCAAACACAGATACACATGCTCAAACTGGGTTCCCACATTCAAGCCCTAAACTCAGAGTAACCAAACGCAATAGCATCATGGTTCATGGGGCAGGTTCTGCTCAGAAAGATAAACCATATTGCGGTTTAATGTGACATCCGGTTTACAGAACATGTTAAGACAATGGCTCGGTTCCCAGAAGCACCAATCCGTGACCTTCTCAGCCAAGATTTGCAGGGAGTGCAAACCCAGTTCCAAAACCACCATCGCCTGCATTTCCTCAAGGCAGGTCGGCGAAAGGGGCAACAGCTGTATTCGCACAACCTGCAAAACCTGGTCAGAGGGGCCTTTGGCGAAGTGTTTTGTAAACTCACTTCTAAAAAATATTACTATTGTTTTTATTTGCAAAACAAAACAGAACAGAACCAAGACATGAAAAAGGAGCAAGGGAGAATTAAAAAAAAATGAGAAAGCAAGAGAATAGCAATTATATAGATAAGGGCTTCTCATTCACATGTATTATTATGGTTGGTCGCTCAGGCTATTTGTTGAGCATATGATCCAAAGCATTGGGTGAATCCAGAAAAATCAGGGAATCTTGGATGCAGGCTCAATGGGTTGTGCGAACGTAACCCCTAAATCCTGTATTAACCAAATGGGTTGTTTTTTGGCAAACCAGCTCAGCCCCCAAGAAATCAACCAAGGTTAAACCAGGGTTAACCTTCACTCATTGTAATCTGTTGTGTGAATGCAGCGACCCGGTTTTGGGCTGCTTTGGTTACCCCTGTGGTGCGTGTGTCCAGCTACAAGATATCTGGAAAGCCTTGAAATCACCGAAATCGAAATTATCCGAGAGTCACTGAGGAATTTAAAGCACCCCTCTGCTAACAGCACATTCATTTCTATTCATTGGCTTATTACCCAACGCAAAACGGCTGCTCTGAGGCCAAGAAAGGCCTCAAGCTCGCTTAAAAGAAAAAAAAAAAGGGACTGTAATGATTTGGTACGAAGGGCAGGGGTTCTCTGAGCATGTGCAAAAGGCTTTGGGGCTTCCCTCGCAATGGCCGCCCTAAGACAAGCAGGGATCTAACGGCATCCCGGCGTCAGATGTTAGATGAGCAGACTAGCCCGGCATCTTTGGGACGAAGCGGGGAAAAAAAGCCCCGGCGGGTCTCACCATCTCCGCCTCCGCCGCCGCCGCCGCCCGGCTCCGTGTGTTTACCGGTCGCCA